AGTGCTCATTAAAATGTTTGCAAATGGAAGAATATACACCATGGCAAAGTTGACTTTATCCCCGATATGCAGGGATCAGTAAACTCACAAGTCTATAAATGTAATAAACCACACAAATGAAATTAAAGACAAAGGTCACATAATTCTCTCAAAAGGTTCAGAAAAAAAGCATTTGACAAAGTTCAATATGCTTTCATGATAAAAGTCCTAGAGACTATAGGACTAGAGGGAACATACCTCAATATATTAAAAGCTACATATGAGAAATCAACAGCTAACATCATTCTAAATACAGAAAAGCTTGAAACAATCAAACTGAAGTCAAGAATGAAACAGCAGTAACCATCCCTTTCCTTTTCAATATTGTGCTTGAAGTTCTAGCTGGTGTATGAAGGCAAGAGAAGGAAATTAAAAGGATATAAATTGAGAAAGAGAGTAAGCCATCCCTGTTTGAGATGAGATAATATTATACATTAGAGATGCCAAAAATTCCACCAGAAAACTTCTAGAAAAAAGTAAACAAATTTGGCAAGGTGGTAGGATAGATAATCAACTTGCACATATCAATATCTTTTCTATACACCACCAACAAACATATAGAGAAGGAGATCATGGGCACACTCATAGTCACTATAGCCTCAAAAAGAATAAAATATCTAGAAACAAACTTGACCAAAACTGAAGGACCTCTACAAAAAAAACTTTAAACCACTGAAAAACAGGAGATTAGAAAGACACTAGAAATTGCTCATGTATTTATAGAATTAATGCCATAAAAATGACAATTTTACAGAAGGTATTTACAGATTCAATTCAATTTCAATAAAAAAAAAATCCCCATTTCATTTTAAATTGGTATAACAAAACTTACCTCAAGACCCAATACCACTTTTGGGCATATACCCAAGTAATGCTAAATCATACCACAAGGACATTTGCTCAGTTATGTTCATTCTGGCATTATTGTAATAATCAGAACCTGGAAACAACCTAGGTGCCCCTCAACCAAAGAATGTATAAAGAAAATGTGGCCCATATAGACAATGGAGTACTACTCAGCAGTAAAAAAACAATTACATCATGAAATTTGTAGGTAAATGGATGGAACTAGAAACTATCATTCTGAGTGAGGTAACCCAGACTCGAAGGACAAATATGGTATGTACTCACTCATAAGTGGATACTAGATGTAAAGCAAAGGATAATCAGACTACAACCCACAACTACAGAGAAGCTACCTAAAAAGGAGAACCCTAAGAGGGACACATGGATTGCCCTGGAAAGGGGAAATAAATGAAATCTCCATGAGTAAATTGGGGAGGAGGAGGCAGTGGAGCATAGGGGATCAGGAATGAGAACATAAAGGAACAGGATGGTGGAGCTGGAACAAGGACAGAGTGGAAGAGCAAGGAAAAAGATACCACCATACAGGGAGACATCATGGGGATAGGGAGTAACTTGGTGCTAGGGAAGTCCCCAGGAATCCACAAGGATGACCCCACCTTAGAATACTAGCATTAGTAGCGAGAGTTTCTGAGCTGGCCTACTCCAGTAATCAGATTGGTGAATATCCTAACTGTCATCATAGAGCTTTCATCCAGTAACTGATGGAAGCAGATGCAGAGATCCACAGACAAGCACCAGGCCGAGCTCCAGGAGTCCAGTAGAAGAGAGAGAAGAGGGATTCTATGAGCAAAGGGCATCAAGATCATGATGGTGAAATGTACAGAGACAACCAAATCAAGCTAATGGAAACTCATGAACTGTGGACTAATAGCTTTGGAGCCTCCATGGAACTGGATTAGGCCCTCTGCATAAATGAGACAGTTGTATAGCTTGACCTGCTTAAGGGGTACCCTTAAGTGGTATCAAGATCCATTACTGGTGCAGGAGTGCACTTTTTGGAGCCCACTACCTATGGTGGGACACCTTACACAGCCTTGGTGTAGGGGGAGTATTGATGAAATTATTAAGGCCACTCCACGTAGTTAAAAGGAAAGTTTATTTAGTGGCATAACTTACAAGTGAAGGGATCTGTAGGTTGCAGGGTCTGGGAAAGGTGTGTCGCAGTCCAGTGGTGTTCTCTGGAGAACTCTGCTCGGTCTACTTCCAGTGTCCAGGGTCCAGGCACCAAGAGAGCCCCTGCATCCAGAACTTGGGTCTTTAGCGTCCTCTCTAGCCCCGCCTTGTAGGCGTGACCATTACCAAAGCCTTAATGGGGGTTGGAACTTCCAGGTCAAAGCTGGAATGGCTACCCACTACAGGGGAGGAGCTTGGACCTGCCTCAACTGAATGTACCAGACTCTTCTGACTCCCCATAGGTGCCCTTGCCTTGGAGGAGGTGGGAATGGGGTGGGTAAGTTGGGGAGGGAAGTGGGGGCAGGAGGAGGGAGGACGGGGAATCTGTGGTTGGTACGTAAAATGAATAGAAAATTTTTTAATAATAAAAAAAGAAGTGGGGGAAAAAAAACTGGGACTGGGACCTGAACAGAGATTTCTCAATAGCAGTGGAGAAATGGCTAGGAGAGTGGTATTGAAGGGAATAGCAGGGCATAAATCACCTTACTAAAAAGGTGGAAAAATAGGGGTTTGGAAGGTCAATGTTTATCAATACAGATAGAGGGAAAAATGTAAAATAACAGTAGAGATGTCTAAAAAGTCATAAGAAATCATACTGTTAAATTTTTACCTAAAAATCCTCACTAAATGTGTGTGTACAATTGTATATATAGTTTAAAAGTAAATTTCCCATCTGTGATGATAATGATCCAAGAGCAAAGAAAACCCAGAATACCCCCAATACCTGTAGAAAGCAAAAAGCCTTGTGCACACACATAATCACAAGAGAAGACAGGACAGTTAAACACACAGCTTACATCTTCAAAAGAATGAGGTGGAAAGCTGCTCTTCCTGGAACATTAGGAATGCTATCCTTTCACAACCTGATGATACTTCTTTGGCTGATGAGACAGGCTCTCCCTCAACACCCAGAATTTGTTTTTATTTATCCAAGATCTTTTCCCTAAATCTTGATCATTGCTTTTAGAACATAAAATCTGTTCTTATGAGTGAGGTCACTTGTGCTTTATAACAGCCTAAATGACTTCTATGTTACCTTAGGGCCAGGCCAATCCTAACACCCACAGGCATTATGTTTACCTCAAACTCCCTAAACCCTAAATCTTGGGCACTATCTCTGAGTCAACAGTACCCATTCTTGTGAAAGTAGCCAGATGTACTTTGTAAGGAATTTCAATGTAAACATGCCTTAAATTGTGGGGCACTTGGGAATAACTTAATTGTTATCTGAATACTTTTTTCAAAATCGTGCTGTGTTTAAATATGGTAAAGTAAAATTATCTGAGCCAGACTCTGGAAGTCCTGGTCCAGCACCAGTTACAATAAAATCAGGCTGAGCAGGGCTGTCTCCTCATGGATTGTTTTTTTTCTCTGCCTGCTGTAAAGTCTGCAAGGGAATCACCACAAACACCAGTCATGAGAAGCTATCTTTTTTGAATATTTGATCGGGACTGTCCAACAAGACTTTTAAAACCTTCAGACTATTGCTGTTCCCTTGATTACTCTCCAGAGGTGGAAGAGAAGTTCCTGCTGCTGAGGCACTATGAAATGCACAGAAAGGACCCAGAAAATCCTGGAAACTGATCTTAATGCCACCTTCCTGAAGTATAGCTATCATGGTACCAGAAGGCACTATGCAAGCTTCCAAAAGAGGAAGGCAACCACAGTCACACACAGCTATGACACCCATGAACCACAACAGTTATCAGTCTCGCATGATAACAGGATATAGTAGTGACAATACTTTGGAATTACCTCCACCAGCTCTCTAATTAGACTTAAGACCCACTCAACAGAAGGGAAGTCATGCCTGGTACTAGAAGCTTAGCCAACTACCTAGGGCTAGTTAAGTCACAGATCTTGGATGAGAACCTATAATCACCATTTTGCTAAACAAACATCGCTCAACATATTGCAAATATTTTTCCTTATACCCACAGATAAGCATAGTTCTCACCCTTCATCAAGGGAGTGTCTTTTGCAATAGATGAAGACCACTAAAGAAAACCACAACCAATCAAAATGCATAGCTGGGGAGCCTAGTCCCAATGGGTACATCTCAAAAACACACCCATGTGTTAGAAGATCATTGAGGAAGAGAAGGAAGAAAGACTGTAAGATCCAGAGGGTCAGTCAATGTGCTATGAGACTGGGTCTCCTAGTAATGCCAGAAGCTACACCCATTAAAGTCTCACCAACATGACTGTCTAAATATAAGCTGAATAAGGACAATAAACATGCTAAATTCTGGATGAAAGACCATGAGGCCTCAACCACATACAAAGTACAAGTGGTATCTAAGGAATGCTGAGAGTAGGAGAAACTGCTTTTCTAAGGAAAACCACACCAGTTGATTACCTAATATCAAACGATCAGGCCTGAAAGCATGCATCCCAGTAACATTACAGAGTAAATTACATTTAGAAATGTATATTATATATATATATATATATATATATATATATATCACAACTATATATATATCACAACTATATATATATTACACAACTATATATATATGCATTTAACAACAATTAATAGAGAATCCATGAATTAAAAATAGAGCAAGGAAGGGCATACCATAAAGATTGGAGACAGGAAAGTGAAGGGATAAATGATGTAATTATAATTTCAAAAAGAAAAGAAAAAGATTTATTATATGGCTCACTTTAAGCTTCTTCACACACCATTAGTCACACACAGTAATCAACTCTGTTGGTCCATTATACCACAGAAAGATACAAATTCCTTGCCCAGGCAATGTTCAAAATGAACATGGGAAGGACTAATGCCCACACAGCACCCTTCAAGAGATAAAGTGGATGGCTAGGAGGGTCTCCTTGCAGAAGTTTCCACAGTTTTTCCTGCCCCAAATCACAAGTGAAACTTTAAGACTAGCTGTTAATCTAGAAACTACTTACCCCAGAGATGATAAATCTTTGCTTCTCACCCAGACTGAAACATTCTCAGTACTATCGAAAGAGGAAGTGCATCACTTATCTTGTTCTCTTCTTTCTCAAGGAAACTTGTGGTCAGATGAGAAAGCTGGACTTTTTGCTGAGGAGTTTGCTTAATGTATTCTAACTAGTTCTCTTTTCACCAGTGTACAATAGATCATGCAGTGCCTAGGGTGGGTCATATTCAAGTGTATATAATTTTTATAAATAATAACATATAAATATATATATATTTATAAATATAATGAGTGCAAGAAAATAATTTTTCAAATAGTTGTTTTCTGCAGCCAGCATGGTATCAACTCCTGAAGTTACAAGTCCAACTTTGAAGGGGCATCTTTAGTTGAATTCTTGATTTTTGTATGTACCTCCACTTCTTTGAAGTGCTAAGTACTCACTGCTATGTGTCACACATGCTCAGTGAGTGATGTACAACTGAACTACAACTACAAATCGCACTTAATTCTTACTGTGAACATAACCAATCCATTACTTAGGAATATAGGGGCGAATACAACCACAGAAACCAGTAATTTCTATACTTAATATGTATTGGTGATTGTAATGCAATGTTTTTCAACAAAATTTAAAGATAGTAGAATGGCAAGGAATCAGTATTTCTTTGTCTCACTGCAATCCCTGTGGAACAACTTACCAGTTTTTGAAAATACTCATGTATTTCTACTTATTCCTGAATATTAGGACAGCCCCAGCCAATGCAACTATGCTGACCTACTCTCCCAGGAAGATTCTTAATTGGTCTTTAGCATGGTTCCCTGATGTCTTGTTTATGTTAGGAAACTTGTTAAATTCCACTGTGTTCCAGAAAATAGCACTTATTCTCAAGAATCAAAACACACATCCTGTAATTTACCTCTAGTCTCAAACAGTAATAAAAAATTAGCCTCACTTTCCCTGACATTAATTCTTTTATTTCTTGTTTTCTACTTATTTTAGTAAAAGAGGAAGCCAATGTAATGAGAGATTCAAACAATAGCCTCAAGACAGTTTTATAAGTTTGTCCATGAGTAGTACTCAAATACTCCCCATAATAATCCAAAGATAGAAGCATTCAATACTGTAATAGTTAACATTGTTCAAATTAAAGCTTCTGAATAAAACAATTAAATGCCCAAAATGAAAAGAAATTCCTAAAATTCTGAGGATTATGTATGATTAAAGCTCAATGTTGTATTCCAGAGATATCTGCAGAAGTAAATACACGTTTTCTGTCTTTGGTTGTATTTTTTCAGACATGGACATGAAGACTTGTTAGGTGGTTGGCTTTCACAAAGGAAACAACAGTTAACATGGTGCACAAAATACTATCATGTTGGTGGTCATGGGAAGAGAATCAAGGCTTTCTAGAAAAAATGCTTCATTCTTGTTTCCAAGCTACCAACCACCTGAGGTGTAAGTGGAGTCATGTTAAATATATAATCATTTTGATGAACTGCTATCTGCCTATAAACACACACACAAGAGAGTAATGCAGATTAGATAAGATGGTCTCATCATAACAAATATCTAGGCAACAAGCAATATTATGATTTAAAGGAAATATTATAGTTTGCATACATTCATTGTATACAATGATGGGTTTCATGATGGCAATTGCATATATGTGTTGCAGGTATTTTCTCATATTTATGCTCTTCTTTCTACTCTTCTCACTTACACTTATATCTTATTAATACTCTTCCTTTTTTCAAAAATTCCCTCTTCTATTTTAATGCCATATGGGTAGAAAGATTGTACCAAAATTATAAAGGCTAGAAAAATAGGTAGATATAGATAGATGATAGATAGATAGGTTATAGAAAGAGTGATTGCACACTTGAGAGTAAATACATGGTATTGTGTAACACGGTGTGAGGATATCATAGTTCATCCATTTCCCTGCCAGTGTCAAGATTGTTTTCTTCTTCACAACTGATTAAAGCTCATTGTGTAGATTCTTCTACACTAGCACTAGTCATTAATGTATTGAAGTATACAGAAACTGACTTTGTTGCCTATTGTGAGTAGTGACAGGAAATTTTAGAAATATCTTAGGCTAATTGATTTTAACATATATGCTGTCAGGCATGGTATGTCTTCTTGACATATATGCTGTCAGCTACTATTTGACTTTCCCTTCTGAACACAGCTGATTAAAACAGTTTTGCTCCACATGGAAAACAATGACCCCAGAGGCAATGATGTAGAGTCATCTACTCCAGATAGCTTTTCTGTATTTTATGGTAACTAGTAAGGCCATTCAATTATGTCTATCTTTTGGAATTTTTAAATGTAAGGTTGCTGCAAGGTTCATAGATTATAGCTCATGAAGAAACAAATAAGTCAAGATGCATTCAGATAGAATATTCTATAGATGACCTTTCTGCACAATCTATAGAGTATCTTACTTGGTAGAGAAGCAGCCTATTGTGAAAAAAATCTACTCACCCATCAGAATGTCCAAACAACAAACAAAGTATGTTGCCACCAAAGTTCACTTGAGAATCTGATGAGTTTGTACTTAGAGAGCACAGATGAGTTTTGTTTGTAGGGATGTAGTTGGATCCAGAGTAACTGCACTGTAAAATCTTTACTTTCATGGAAATTGGCTTCTCCATAGCTGCATGGATGGAGCTGATCAGTTAATTTGGCCCAGCCTGTATACTCTAGCATCTCCATAGACCCCAAGGCCATGAGCAATTTGGGCATGACTGCATATAAATAACTGGGGGGGGGTCGGATAGAATCTCAGGTGAGGGTCCAGTGATCCTCCCCACCATTCTTTCTATGTGGGAATGTCAACAGTCAACAAACTTTATCATGATGGACACTTGTAAGCAAGCATAGCTGATCTGATAATGATGGCCACTGTTTGGCTTGGAGGACTACATATAACAGCTCAGGTTGTCACTTTCATATCACTATCATAAAATCCCAGTCCATTTTCATATCCTAATGAACTAACACTCAATGTAGAAACAATTTGCTCTGGTATAGTCATATCCCCAAATGTAACAAGGGTATCATGACTCCTTTCAGGCTGTTGTGAAACAAAATCTGCTTTCTACTGCTCTGTGCATTGGGAATTGTTTTTTCCTGTGGAATTTGCATCATTGATTCCTTGGACACATTGTCTTACAGCATTATTCAGCCAATGGTAGGTCCATCAATATAGAGGGGAAATTCAGGAAAAAAATATACAAGTGTTCATTTTCCAATCCACTCCTTCCTTGTGGAGACTTCACATATTATGATGTGGCATAACTAATGCACCTTCCATATTTCAGTGACTATTCCCTCAATTAACACCATTAAAACAACAGTGGAACACCTACCCACACTGTTTACCCTCTCACACACAACCAAACCCAGAGTTCTTCACCATCCTTTGGCAAATTTTCTGCACCTACACATAACCAAAGGCATACATATTGTTTTCATTAAATACTTCTCATTAAATTTTTCTAGTAGGGCAAGCTATCTCTTCCTATATTATGCCAAAATGCATTCTACGTTGCGCACGTAACCACAGCTTCACTGCAAAATTTGTGAATATGATAGCCATGTCACACTTAGAAAATGGCATTTTGAGTAGCTGAAATGAAAGCATGGGCCAGAAGGAGCTCATAATAGCTTCCTTCTGAGGAGGTATTCGCAGTTGACAGATGCTTTAAGAGGGAAACTAATTTTTGTAGGGGGAATCACCACTGGTATGTTGCCCATTCTCCAGTGTATCATCCCATGCTCATGTACTTACGAGATTCAGTGTGTCATTTTTAAAAGAGAAGCCATGAAGTTAGATAGAGGCTGTGTTAGGTGGTTAGAATCTGAGAGAATAATGGATGGGTAAATAGAAGGGAATTAATATCACCATGCTTGCATTACATACACATTTGACAATTTTATATTGTCAAAGAATAATTTTAAAAATAAATTTTAAAACAAGGAAAGAGCACAGCAGAGAAATAAACTAATTCCACTCTTCTACCCTGAAATTCAAATGTTCTTACCAACTTTTATAGAAGAGGAAACCACATTTCAAGAAGAGAAGGAAATGACAACCCCCTACCATCATGTGGCTGCAAAGCACAACACACAAGCACCACTTCCTCATTTGCAAGGCTCACTTTTAAAGGAATTGCTCCTCAGCAAAACACCACAGCTCACAGTGGGCTGTTGAATAGATGGATTTTCTCAAATCAGCTTCTGGAGGTCTATAAGGCAAGAAAATGAAAAAATCCAATACAATCCATTGTCCCTGTCCTATTACAATAGTAGCTTACACTGAAGGCAAAGTAGTACTTTTAAAAGCTTCATACAAACGTGATTTCTTGCTCAGCTTACAGAATGTGAGGCAATATTTTCCATAATACTGTACCATTGTCATAGTTTAAAGCAAATGCCTTATGGCGCACGTGCTTAGTTTCTGAGGCTTAGTGTCTGGTTATTTTTTCTCCTACACCTAACATCTCCGTATTATGAATACAGGCTCTGTAATGCCCTTCATTTTTTATATTATTAAAGAAGTTTTTCATGTATTCCAAAGTGACTTTAAAGTTAACATGTGTCATTAGATGATCATGTACTTCTGATTCCCTTTCATCCATGAAAGAAAAAGTATCAGCTCAGGACTCCCAAGACCAAGTTCTCAAAACAGATTTATTTGCCCCAAAAGGATAGAGGGCAAGGAATAATAGACAAAGACAGGAGATAGAGAAGGAGAAAGAAGGGGAATGGAACAAGGGAGAAGGTATTTGTACCAGCAGTTTGAGGCAGGTACAAAGAACAGTCTCTGGACAGAGAGGAGACAGATGAGGCCTAAAAACAAATGGTGGTTTACAATGGTAAAATGGGAAACCTTGTGTTAGGATGAGGTGTTTAATTTTAATTTTGCATGTTAATTAGATGAGCCACAGGGATTTTGATGGCTGGATGTGCACCATTACACTTTCTATATGGGATGCTGTGAATAGAACCTAGGGAATCAGACAAATGTTCTTCCTACTAAATTACAGTCCTAGGCTTCATAGCTCTTTTACAAGTAGAA